CGAACCCTGCCCACCAAACCTCGCAGAGCACCTCCCTCTAGTGTTCGCCCCAGCTGAGGCCGTCCTGCGCGACCACCAGGCCAGCAGCCGCAGCGCTGCCGGAACCTGGGTCCGCCTGCCGTCCGACTCCAATCTGGCCACGGGATCCCTCGATCCGCCACGTCCAGACACTCACCGCCCCCTGGCCAAAGCCGCCACCACCAAATCCAGGGCCGCCGCCCCAGCAACCGCAGACCTCCGCCGCGCGGCTGAAGCACAACACCAAGAATCGAGTCGGAGCACTTGCACTTCATCCCGACCCTCCAAAGCGAGCGCCCGGGCCGAATCCGTGCAAAACACCGCCCCTCACTGCATCCAAGCTGAAGACTAGGGCCCCCAGTCAGGGCAGCCTCCCGATGGGGCCAGAACCAGCCGAAGCTGGGCCAGATCCGGCAAGCCGCCACATCCGATGACGAGCACCTGCAGGAGCTCGCACAGGAGGAAAAGGGGGCCGCCATCCTGCCAAGACCTGTCAGAGGAGAGCCACCACGCGGCGCGAAGAAGACTCGCAGGCGCCGGCGACGCCATGCTGAGCAGAGGCGGCGGAAGGACCAAGCCTCCCCTACCGTGAGAGCACGTCGCAGGGCGAGGAAGCGCCCCGCCGCCGCCATCACCTGGCCGGGCTTAGCCCGCCGGCGTCCTCCGGCGACGGCGAGGGAGGAGGAAGCAGGGGAGGGGGCGGTGGCGGCGGCTAGGGTTCTGCCCGAGCCGCCGCCAGGAGCGACGCGGGCGTGGAGGAAAGTCTTCCCTCAATCTATTGTGCTGACTAATGACTACTCACTCCGTTCGCGAATAAGTGTGCATCTACCTTTTATTCTAGGTAAAAATTTTAAAGTTTTGACCAACTTTATAGAAAATAGTTGTAACGTATATGACATCAAATTGATATATTATCAAAGTACATTTTGAAACGAATCTAGTGATACTAATTTGATGCCATAAATGCTTTTGCTTTTTCCTAAAGAGGTGATCAAAGTTTTAAAACTTTGACTTAAAACAAAAGTTAGGAATAGCAAGAAAAAAAGTAGGATCGGAATACCATGCCCATTGAATTCCAATAGAATTTGAGGGCTCCTTTGATTCAAAGAAATTTTATAGGATTTTTGGATGATTGAAATCCTTAGAACTTTCTCCTACGTTGGTCATTTGATTCATAGGATTGGATCCTCCTATGAAATCTTTTGCACTATATCTCATAGGAAATCTAACATCTACTCCAACCTCTTTTTACACTTTATTTTTTCTATGACATCAAACACTCCTTACTAATCCTATATGATTCAAGTGGACATATCACTTCAACCCTATACTTTTTTTATACCTGCATTTTCAAAATCCTGAGAATCAAAGAGGCCCTGAATTTGTTTGATTGTTATCACAGGAAAACGATGGATTTTTTCCAAGAGATTAGAGTGGATGTTAAAATTCCAATGAAATGTAGTATAAATTAATCCTTAGGAAAAATTCCTATAGGATTCAATCCTAAGGATTAAATGATCAAAGGAAAAAATCTTAAGGATTCTAATCCTTCAAAAGTCCTACGAAAATCAAAGAGGCCCACATGCTTTGAGGCATGCAAAACTAAATGTGTCCCAAGCTGCGCAAATGACCTTCTCTTCTCGTGGTTCATTGGTTCAAGTAGCGTAAACATTCGAGCTTCCTTTCCAAAACTCAAGCGTCACGCTCCTTTTACCGTCCCATGTAAGATGGCTAGTAGGACGATGCCAAAGGGCGGGTCGACAAGGGGAAGATGTTAGGATCAGAGAGTGGACTTGGTGTAGGGGAATTTATTGGCGTGTCAAAGTGCATACTATGTGGGTTGCTAAAGGCATGACCTCATCTGTAATTAATGACTTTCTCTTAATAATTGGTTCAAGATATTTTTTGAAAAGGGCAAAAAACTTGCCGCATTCATTAATTAAGGAGGTTAACAATGTTAATAGCCCGTAGGCCAATATAAAAGCTAACTCTCCCGGCATTATATTTCCCATGTATCTCACCCCAGCCAAGATAGGTGTGAACTAGGATCAACCAGGACGATTTTTTTTCATATCAAACCAAAGGACCGCCGAGTGCTAATGGCGAACACTAGTAGAAAGATTAATGAAGTAGCATATGATCTTGACAACTTAATAAAAACCCCTTTTCACAAAATGAAAAAGAAAACAAGAGGGCATAATGATGAGCGGTTAAGTGGTGATTGGCGTCCTTGTAATGTCGTCGCCGTCGAGTAGTGAGGTTTACAACATTTTCTTTTTTCTCTTTTGCAAAAAGTGATGTAATAGCTAATTGGCCTTCCAAGACGGCGTAGGGAGTGGAGCTGCCAGCCATGAATGGAGAAGATTTGTAGTTGTGGCAAAGTGCCAAAGGAGAAAAAAAATCCAGTTAACTCAGTCACAGAAGCACATATGCTATCTGTCAAACGTTTAGTTTTCCGACGAAAACATTATAAATATGACATTAGTCTTTAAAAGTTCAAGGCAAGTTTTATAGATAAATTTTATAAAATTTCAATCATTTTTAGAGAAACATTTTTTGTCTTAGCTTTCCATGACACCCTTAATTATATATTTTTGCCACGAACTAGATAAAAAAATCTACTAAAGTTGCCAGCACCATTCTTGTTGTTATTAATTAGGTCATTGCAATTTTACTTTTTAGAAAATATACAACATGCCCATTTTACTATTAAGTGCACAAATTTTTTATTTTTAATTGCATGGGAATTTTATTTTCCTTAATAGACACTTTTTATTTTTCATTTATATAATCAAATGTATTTTGTATAATGTCATCGTCAATCACGGTAATTTTCGTGTACATCATGGGTAAATTATTTTAACATACCATGACAATTTTGTGGAGCATACCATGGAAAATTCTTTTTATAAGTTTTATTTATTTGAACATTTTCGCCATGGTAAATTATTTACAATTTTTTTGGCATGGTAAAATGGCCATGTGATCATTAGATACATTTACAAAATTTGCCCCAACAAACTTCATTTACAAGTGTTACCATGGCATGTCCAAATAAATTTGGTAAAATGCCATGTGGTCACTAGATACATTTTCCTTAAATTTGTCATGTTTCTAGAGAAAATGTTTTGCTTCGATCTACTTTATTCTAATCTGTCGCCTTTGCTTATTTTAGGATTTGAAAATTATCTCCTTTTTTGCTATGTAATCAGAACTAACAAAATTCAATTTTTTTTCCATGTTTTCAGAGATTGCAAATTTGTTGTGTATAAGATGTTTCTTTTTAAATCTTGTCTCTTTTATCTACATCAGGACAAATCCTTTTTTGTTCATTTCAGGTAATCAACTCACAGTTTAGTTTTAAGTAAGTTTTTTGCTTTTGCGGAAAAAACCTGATGTTTCTAGTACTCCATCCACATGCCAGCTTTAAGTTAGATTTTTGTTTTTGCAGGAAACCCCTTAATAATTGGGTTAATTAACCTGAAGCACAAATCAAATGTGTTTTAAAAACATCCATATTTTTTAAACCCTAAATCCAAATTTGACATGTTATATATGAAATTTGATTAGAAAAATGTGTGAATCTGAATATGATGTTTTTACCTGTCCATTTTTAAAATGCTATCTAGGATGCAACCTTAATCAATAACGAATGATCCATCTTTCTTTTATGCCGGTGCCGAACCGGATTGGAAATGAATGCCTATCAAAACCAGGATTGGAGACAAAAAAAAACTATAACCATGCATGCACGTCTCGCCAAAACCTCATAGGAAAAGAATAGATTACTCATCTAATGCCAAGAGAGAGACGCCTTAACATTGACATGTAGAGGCTGTTTGGTTTCCAGCCACACTTTGCCGCACCTCACCTTAGGCAAATTTGACCAAGTTAGGTGGGTGTTTGGTTCTAGCCACACCTAAGACAAGATTTTTTTAATGAGAAGTGAACTTCACATGTCATAGACACAAAAAGTGTGGCAAAATTCCCTTAGGCAAGCCAAAAGTATGGCTAACAATTTGAACAACTCAAGTTAGGCAAGTGTGGCAAAAAGTAATGCGCCAACATAAGGCAAACATAGTCACAATCCAAACAACCCCGTAATGCCGAGAGAGACGCCTTAAGATTGACAACCTTCAAACGCATTGTGGTTGTGTAAGCACTGAGGGCACAGTCGGCGAGGGTCTTAACTCATGGCTATTGGATTAGAGAAGCGTGGTATTTCTTTCTCTCATTACAACACGCAAGCTCTTTTGCAGGTAACCTTCGCTCCAAGCGGATCAAGATCTAATGTTTCCCATATTGTCGTCCTTTTTCAAACGCAAAAAAGCTGGCAAGTTAACCTTAAGATAAGTTTTTTAATACATAAGCACATACATTCAGCCCTATGAACGAGGGACGCCCTACTCCTATGAGCACTTCTGAGAGGCTGAGGTGACACATCATTTTGAGATTTATAAATACATGACCGAAAGTCCTGAAATAAATCTAGAAAAATGCAAGCATCGGTGTCAAGTTTAGGATTTAAACTTTAATGAACTAAGATATCAGTGTCCTCCTAACCATTCGATGAAGCTTTGCTACATTCACGGATAGTTACGGGGCATTACAGGGCTGGGCGCCCAGCCCACCAGTTAAATCAGGGGGAGGCGGTTAATTAGGAGAAGAAAATTAATTAGGCCAATTAAAACAGGACAGCTCAGCAGGCCCGTGAAGTCCGTGAGCCAGGAGTCCGTGCGTGTAGCATTTTTGCCATCCGATGAGGTTCACGACCTTATAATAAGTTGAGAAATTATTTACTTGGCACAGGAGCGAATCTGAGGCAACGGAGGCGATTTAACAATGTGAAATCGAACAATTAAACCCCCCGAAAGACTCCATTTCAAGTCCATCATTCTTTTCTACATACAACAAATTGAGCTAAGTAGTGGAGTAAGTAACTAATGACTCAGTACACCGCGAGGTAGCAAAACTTTGTGAGCTCAGTCTACAAGGACCCTGCTTGGAAGGGCCGAGCCCATGAACCCTGACACCTGGGCCCCGCCCCCTGGCCCCATCCCCAATACCACCACCTTCCCGCCATTTTCCACCACTGCCGCCGCCGCCGCCGGTTCAAACACCTCCACCGCCCACCTCCACAGCACCTCGTCAAGAAAGTGTCCAGAAGCCGCGGTGAGAGCCTCGGCCGCCTCGTCGTCGAGCTGCACCTCCCGGCCGAGCGCCCCAACGAGCACTTCACGGATGGTCGCCGCGGCGCGCTGGTCAGCGTCGGCGTCCTTGTCAAGGGCGAGGACGCCGGTGGCGACCGACTCGAGGAGGTGGTGCAAGTCCCCGTGTTCTCTGCTGTCACTCTCGTGGGTGATGTCGCTCGGAACAGCATCGTCGTCACTGTCGTTGCCGGCGCAGAGGTTGAGGTCAAGGTCGATGCCATGGCCGGAGCTGGAGCCGTGCCGTGCCCTCTTGCACTCCCTTGTTGTTGGTGGTGGCTCGATCTCTGCCTTCCTCTTGACATCGCCGGGCGACGACGACGACCATAACCGCAGGCTGATGACGTCGGTGGCCCGGTTTGCAAGCTCTGATGTTGTGAAGATAATGATGGATCCAGAGAGATCGAGTTCTTGGCCGAAATGGTCCTTGATAAACCCGCACATGGATGCCGCCACGAGACACTCGACAACGTGCCGCGGCGCGTGCTCGACGTCGGAGATGACGAGCACGAACCTGCCGCAACTGAGCTTGCACGCCCTCGAGACCACATCGGAGCAGAAATCCTCGGCGCAGCTGAATTTCTTGGGATCCGCGGCTATGATCTGATCGGCCGAGCCACAGCACGTCTCGGCGATCACCGCCGCCGCCCGTTGCTGGGCAGCGTGGTCGCTCCCCTTGAAGAACAGACAGACGCCCTTCCTTCCATAGCTCCGGCTGCTGGCGACCGCCTCCACGATCTCCGCAACGGTGCCTACTGGCTGGCGCGGTATGTTTTTGCGCAGCCGCCGCTCCAGCTCATGCGTCACTCCATCGTGGCTCCCCTGAGCACGACCGTCGGAGGTGGCCGTGTCCGAGAGTGGGAGGAGGGTGCCAAGAGCGAGCGTCGTCTTCACGTCCGGGCGCTCTGGCTCCATGAGGCCCGGACAAGGCAGAGGCGATGGAGGTGACCACCTGCTGTTGCTCCTTGAATGCTCCGTCAGTCCCTCCAAGCCCAAGAAGCCTGCAATGCTCGGCGTGCTCTGGCTGCTCGGCAGCAGGCAAGGACTCGGCCACCACGAGTTTGGAGGTGCAGATATGCCAGGACCAAAGCAAGAAGGGGAGCACGGATCATGCTGCTGGCTGCGCCACAGGTGAAGCTTTCTGCACAGCCTGCTCCATTTCCTCTTGAGTTCGATCAGATAGTTGCCCTGAATCATCACCACCAAATAAAAAGGAGATAAGACATCCAACTCCAACTGGCCTAGATTTTGCTGTGACTATGATGCACATTTGAAGAACTGCATTAGAATGTCCTGTTTGATCGTTACCTGGTGTGGCATTTGATGATCGGCCGGTGGCTTGTTGTCGAGCACCAGCCAGGCCGGGAGGCTGCAGCGTAGGCCCTCGGTGCCAGCCTCTGCCTTGACAACGGACGCCTCCCTCTCGTAGCTCCTGTTGCATTCGCTGCACAGCATCAGCTTGTCTTCCTGCTCGCCTCCCAGCGCCATTGGCTCGGCTGCCATTGCCACAGGACTCTGGGCAAGCAGCTGCCTGGTCGCCATGGCCTGCTGCATCGCAGTCGCACTGCTGGAACATCAGGGGACAAACAAAACGATGTCAAGTACCAGACCATGGCAAAGTTTCCATCAATTTATTTCAAGTTTTTACACGTACAAAAGGAGCAAGCAGAAAAGATCAGGCAGATTTTATTCAAAAAAGGCGGAGCAGTTTCATGGAATTTCCAGTGTATTGCAGGGAAAATAATCATAGGGACATACATAACTGTAGCCATATCAAACCATCTATCTAGAGCAGTTTGAATTTTTGTACCATCCCCATCTACTACAAATACTCTATGATTGATCTTGTGTGCATGAAAAGTGCATCATTGCAAGGAAAAGGGCACCGGATCAGTCTCACAAGTCACACATTTGTGTACCAAAAAGGGAGGCAGGCCAGGCACTGTTGCTGCTGCATCAGAAGAAGACTTTTGCGCCGAGCATGCAGAGAACCTGATCGGATCAGATGGAATCTCTGCAGAGGCTAAAAAGCATTGCATTCCCCAAAAATAACCCTCTTTTTCTCTCCATCTCTCTCTCTCTCTCTGTCTCTCATCAATTTCTACTGCCTGCAGCATGCATGATCAAGCCTTCAAGCTCACATGCTTCAGTTTAGATGACATGAAAGCTCAAGCACCTCATTAATGTCGAAAGATGAAATGGTATTTTATACCACTACTCTACTTGAGGTCTACTAGTAGGGAGGGTACAGATACTACTACGGGCTAGTGGTGCAGGTAGTAGAGCTTGGCTTGTTTTTGTTTTTGAAACATCTGACCTCTGACCAAGTGGTCCTTCTAGACAGCAACACACAAGGCTGCATGCAGCAACAGTGAGCAGGAAGAGAAGGCAACAAGGACACATGCACGACAAGGGAATGGCACTGTAGGGGGAGGCATGTTTCTTGGTTGCTCACCTCGGAGAGGAGGAAGAATGGAGATTGTTGAGGGCCAGCCCAGTGCCGCTCGCGGTGGGGACCGCCACGGCCTGCAGCGCCCAGGCGGACTCCAGCAATGGCTGCCCACGCCGGTGCTGGCACCGCATGTAGGTCTGGTAGCTGGCCGTGGCCACCAGCCAGACGCGGCATCGCGGCGGCGCGCTGGCGCGGAGGTCGTCGAGGAGCCGGCCAAGCTCGGCCACCATGTGCTCCACGGGGCTGTACGACGACGCGGTGTGGTCGGCGCCGCCGCCGGCGGGATCCTCGTCCAGCGCCCACCGCAGGTCTCCGACGTAGACGACCAGGCCGCCGCGCTGGACGGCGTCCACGCTGCGGCGGAGCTCCGCGGCCTTGGCGTCCACGTCGACGCGGCTCATGAGCCGGACGTGCACGTAGGAGAGCTGAAGCTTGAGCAGGTGCGCGCCGGCGAGCTCCTCGGGGACTTCTCCGCGCTCGAGGCACCGCAGCAGCTCGCCGGCCACGGCCTCCGCCATCGACACCGAGTCGCCGACGACGACGGGGTTGGTCCTTCTCCCCTGCTTCCGCACCATCACCTCCAAGACCGCCCTCACGTCCTCCTTGCAGTACGGAACGGCCACGGCCGGCGAGCTCAAGAACTGTGCCGGCCACATCCCGAAGCCGCAGCCGTCAATGCTGCCGTGGTCGAGGAAGAAATGTGGAGGTATGACCGGCGGAGGAGGGGACGAAGACGAGGATGACATCATGAGCGCGCTCTCCTCCTCGAGGTTGCTCTTGACGGTGGCGCTGGAGAAGCCCGCCTCCCGCATCACGCGGCTTACGCTGGGGTCGTCAAGAATGGAGATGATGAGCTGGTCGAGCTCCACCTTGATGGCGAGGAGCGGCTGCTGCTGCTGCGCGCCTTGGTGCTGCACCGGGCCGGGGGATGGCGGTGGCTGCTGCAGCTCGACGCAGCCTCGGCGCTGGTTGGCCTGCGCGCGCTTGAGCGCGGCGACGAGCGCGTTGGAGAGCGCCGGGTTAGGCTGGACGAGCGAGGACGCGAAGGGCGCGGCCGAAGACGGCGGCGGCGAGTGCGGCCCGGAGTTGGGCAGGCGGTTGAGCGCGACATTGAAGCAGAGCTCGAGCGCGCGGCACTGGAGCGGGTGCTGCGCGGGCGGCACCGCGGGGTGGGAGCGCAGGCAGGCGCGCCTGAGCAGGCCGTAGGCGGCGCCCCCCGCGAGCGGCTGCGAGCAGGCGGAGCTGAGCAGCGCGAAGGCGACGTGCAGCGGCGTCACCTGCGCATGGCCGCGGCGGCGCGCGAGGCCGACGGCGAGCTTGAGCACCGCGGCCGCCTCGGCGGTGAGCGACTGGTGGATGGTGTAGGCCCCGGCGCGCATCACTCGATCAGCTGTCCTCGCCCCCACCCCCCCACACCCCGCGGAGAAGAAGCTCCTCCCCCTCTCACTTGTTGGTGTGGCTCCTTCTTCTTCTTGTCACCACCACCTCCTCCTCCTTTGGCGTTGCTGCTGATTCTGATGAGGCGAGGGGAGAGCGTCCGTCCCTCTTTATGGATCGGTTTGTGTCTACTGTAGGCGTGATCACTGTGGTAGCTGCTGCCTTCTTTTGTGGTGGCTTTACTTTATCTTTATAGACCTCGCTCCATGCACACTGGACCGGATAGATGGCCTGAGCTGAGAGGAGAGGAGGGAGGAGGGCCTTGTCTCTTTATCGAGGGTGGCGGATGCCGCCGCTGTGGCTTTGCATAGCCCCGTCAGGCTTTGCTCCCTCCGCTCTCATACACAGACACACACACTCTCTCTCTCTCTTCTCTCAGCGGCGTGGTGGCATTCCGCCATGCATGGCATTCTCTCTCTCTCTCCTCCTTTGCATATGCCTCTGTTTTCTCGGCAGGGATCTTTCCCTTTCCACACACAGCTGCCAATGCATGCAAAAGCTCGTGTGTCCCCTCCCGCCCCTTCGTCCCCAGCATCAACCAGGAGCAGTGACATGCCACATGCAGTACTCCACTGCTAAGCGCTGCCATGGTACTACTACTACTACTGCCTACGTGCTCCTACTACGTCGTTGCCCATGGCGATCCCTAGGCTACTCACTCTTGTTTTGAACTCAGCTGCCTTGTTGGTAATGATAGGGGGATTAACACTAACATGTGCAACTGCAATCTGCATTGCATCATCATATTTGCTGTATATACGTTACGTTGGTGATTAATCGTCGTTCGTTCCATGGTCAAGGTATATTGTTGACCTTTGCCCCCACAAAAGTGACAGGAAAAAGGAAAGCAAATTACAAAAGCTATGCTAAAGTACTTGATCATGCGGGCCAATAGATTATTAGATCAAAAGAAGGGTAGTCTCAAGCGCAAAGCTCATCCAATTTCTGTCTGGGGTTTAAAGCTCTGATCGCCTACCACGCGCTGCCCTTCTTTTTACGAAACGCAAAAGGAAAAGATAAAGAAAAGTTGGGCGCATCAAGTACTTCCATGGATGAGGATGACGAATCTAATGTATGTACGTACATCGCATATATACGTCGATACGGTATGTAAGGCAGCCTGTGCAGGCGCTACTGTTGGTAAAAACCCGGCGATTGAGGTAATAAAAGGAGGTACAGTACTACGATGAAATGTATTGGGACTCTGCCTCCAACTGTGCCTGTGCAGTGGAAAAGGCTACCTCCCTGGAAAAGAAGGGTAAGAAATAGAGTAAACTATAGTCTATAAAGAAAGGAAAATGGTAGGGTTGCGTATAATTTACGGCGACTGCCTGGACGGTGCAGACAAACTTTGCACCAATAAGGATTTTCTTGTGGAGAAGATCCATGGGATTTTCTTTTTTGAATTTGTAATGGTGACATGGCAACTTAGGGATTTTGTTCTTGTGGAGAAGATGTCAACTTAGGGATTTTGTTCTTTGAAAGATATGGAAGATTCAGGAAGTTGCAAAAGGTACATGGCAAAATTTAAGGAAATTCTTCTAAAAAAACACATGACAACTTTTTGGAATTTTTTAAAACGGGCATATGAAAAAAGATAGGGATTGTGTGTTTTTGAAAAGTGTTGCAAATTTAGGAATTTGCACTACACACATGGCCACGTTTAGGAAATTCGTTCTCCAAGAACGACATGACATGTCTTGGAAGACTGTAAATGGGCACCTGGACAAATTTAGGAGGTTTGTTATTTAAAAACAAAAAAATATCACAAATTTAGCAAAATTGCCATGGGTACATGGCAAATCTATATTTTGTTCTCTAAAAAGACATTGCTACTTTTGGAAAAGTTTGTAATTGGCACGTGTCAAATGTATGATTTTTGATCTTTTCAAATAATGGCAAGTTTAGGAATTTGCCATGACATGTTCAATAAAACTACCATAATGTATAGACTATATTTTCCATAGACAATTGGAAATTTTGGCATGGTACATAGTCAAATAAGAATTGACATGTTATGTTAGAGAAAACTTGCCATGGTACATATAATAGATTTGCCATGACTTATGAAACAAAATTAACTAAATTTGTGGCGTGAAAAAACAAAAACAACAAAGTTGTTGACATGTATTTGGAAATCATAATGTACTGAAATGGCAAATGCATACTCCCTCCGTCACGGTTTAGAAGGCGCGCTTGGAAATTCTCTGGAACCTAGGTGGTTATCTATTGGTTGTGAGATGGGTTAGAAAATAGCATTCACATTATGCATGCATATAGAAATAGTGTATAGGAATACTAATTAGCTACTAGACATAAATGCAATGCGCCCTAAATCTTGTCTATTGTGGAAACGCATGCAAATTTAACTGTGCCTTCTAAACTGTGACGGAGGAAGTACTATACTTGCTAGTTTAGCTAAAGCGTGTGTTATTATCACTAGATCATTTTTTGGGTATTATCCGATTTGCCATGAGTTTTTAGCGCAAATGTCACCCACTCTAGTGAATAGCTCGGGTGAAATAGTGTTGGAAATATGCCCTAGAGGCAATAATAAAGTGGTTATTATTATATTTACTTAATCATTATAGAGGTTTATTATTAATGCTATAATTGTATTGATCGGAAACTTAAATACATGTGTGAATACATAAACAAATAACAAGTCCCTAGTAAGCCTCTACTGGACTAGCTCGTTGATCAAAAGATGGTTAAGGTTTCCTGACCATAGACATGAGTTGTCGTTTGATAACGAGATCACATCATTAAGAGAATGATGTGATGGACAAGACCCGTCAGTTAGCATAGCATATGATCATTCAGTTTATTGCTACTGCTTTCTTAAATGTCAAATACATGTTCCTTCGACCATGAGATCATGCAACTCCCAGACTCCGGAGGAATGCCTTGTGTGTATCAGACGTCACTTCGTAACTGGGTGATCATAAAGGTGCTCTACATGTATCTCCAAAGGTGTTTGTTGAGTTGGCATGGATCAAGATTGGGATTTGTCATTCCGTATGACGGAAAGGTATCTCTCGGCCCTCTCGGTAATACAACATCACAAGAAGCTTGCAATCAAAGTGACTAAGAAGTTAGTTACAAGATGATGTATTATGAAATGAGTAAAGAGACTTACCGGTAACGAGATTGAACTAGGTATGGAGGTACCGACGATCGAATCTTGGGCAAGTAACATACTGACGGACAAAGGGAACTACGTATGTTGTCATAAAGGTTCGACCGATAAAGATCTTCGTAGAATATGTAGGAACCAATATGGGCATCCAGGTCATTATTGACCGGAGAAGCGTCCCGGTCATGTCTACATCCACTAGTAGAAAAAGGGTCAAATGTGAAGCACATTAGTGCCGGTTTGAATTTGAGCCGGCACTAATGTGACCATTAGTGCCGGTTCCAACGGCTAGGCGGGCGGACATCATTAGTACCGGTTCATGGGAAACCTTTAGTACCGGTTCATGCCACGAACCGGTACTAATGAGGCCAGTGCGGCTGTGGTCAGGCTGGGGCCCCCACGAAGACCTTTAGTACCAGTTCGTGGCATGAACCGGTACTAGAGTTTCTTAGTAAGCTGATTTTTAGTCCCACCTCGCCAAGAGAGAGGTAGTATGAGCGGTTTATAAGCCGTGAGTGCAGAGACAATGACGAAGAGGCGCAATGCTCACCTGCACGTTGATTAGCTTCAAGCCTTTCGGAATAGCATAGATTGCATTGAGCTATGTGCAGTGCAGTCTACACTATTCCGAAAGGCTTGAAGCAAATTAATCAGCATTGCACCTCTTTTTTTATTTTTAATAACTTATTTGACCTCCGAACTTCTTTTGTGTTCAGTATGCAGCATTCAAAGGACGTCATCAATTTCCAACATGTTCTGACATCATTTGTTGCTTTTCAGTCATTTACCGAATTGTTTAAAGAGCTAAATGACCGTGAAATTGAAAATCACTACAAAATGAACTGTGAAAATGTTGAAATTTAGCATGGTATCATCATTTCACCCGCATAGCATGTGTGAAAGAGTAGAGAGGGTCACGACAAAAACTGGACGCACTTCGTGTACAAACTGAACAATCTCTTTCGGAGTATCAGGGTTTCAGACGAGAACTCACCTGTTACACGGGCACTTCAATGTTTTTTAAACTTATTTGAACTCCGGACTTCTTTTGTGTTCAATATGTAGCATTCAAAGCGACGTCATCAATTTCCAACATGTTCTGACATCATTTGTTGTTTTTAAGTCATTTACCTAATTGTTTAGAGAGCTAAATGACCGTGAAATTAAAAATCACTACAAAATGAAATGTGAAAATGTTGAAACTTGGCATGGTATCATCATTTCACCCGCATAGCATGTGTGAAAGAGTAGAGAGGGTCACGGCAAAAACTGGACGCACTTCGTGTACAAACTGGACAATCTCT